TATTTTTGTGTTCTATTTTGTTTCTGTTTGTTCAGTTGTTTCCCTTCCTTTCAGATAAAGAGTCTTATTTCTCCTCACTAGGAAAACGTCATTGGCCTGCAGTGCAATGAGTGCCGAGCTGGTACCTACGGGCTTCGGGATGACAACCCTCTGGGGTGCACCCCATGCTTCTGCTTCGGACTCTCGCAGCTCTGCTCGGAGGTGGACGGTTACGTGAGGATCCCAGTAAGTTATCTCCTGGGGAGTCAGGTGGGGGGAGACAGTCAAGTACTAAGGCTAAATGTTGTTCTTAGGACTTCAGAAATTGTAGTGAGTTGTGAAGCTCCAGTTTCACCGCCAGAGGAAGTATATATTTGGTGTTCCTCAATCTATCAAAAGCAAAAATAAAACAGAAAATCTACCAACAGAGAAATTAAAAATAAATGAAAACTGCCCCAGTAAAGGACAATTGACCTTAAATGCAAGAGTTTAAAACATTCAGTTGATTTTTTAAAACATGTATTTATTTATTTAAGCATGCAGAACTGGGGTGCAGACCAGAGGTACAGGGGCAGTGAGAGGATTCAGCAGAGACAGAGTGGGGAGCAGAACAGGCAGATTGACAAAGTACACTGCTGAGGGGAGCAGCGGGCGGGTCAGGAGAGAGGTCTGCCACGCCATGTGGGTCACCTCTGGGGCAGGGATTGAATGGGTACTGAAGCAGCTGCCATTCACAGTGTTGCACTTGAACCCGCTGCACCATCAAGGAGGGCCAACAGGTGTATTTTTAAGCTCCCAGATCTATGAAACCTATTATAGATGGGCAGTGGAGGCACGATGACTATCTGGCCCCTGGCTCTCCATCTTGAGCATCATCAACCAGGGGTCATTCCAGAAGCGTCTGTTCCAGGAGTCTGTATTTTCCAAAAACTTCAGAGACGAATCTGATCGTCATCTGCATTTTCAGAATACTGAATGAGTCTGAGAGATGTTTAGGAATTGCCTGAGAAGCAGGGAATTCAGGGATGTGTGTGTCCAAAATTAT